AATGTTTGTTGTTTTTTCAGAAATAATCGTCACGTTTTATATTAAAAATATAATTTGTTACTATAAGACCTCATAGAATTGCAAAATTTAATTAAATTGTATATGTATGCAGTATATAACAGGTAATCTTGAAYTGATAATATAAATACATTGTCTGGCATATTAAAACTATAAAATTAGATATAATATATGTATCATTATTGTTATATTTTACTGTATGTACTTTAACTTATAATGCTTTGGTTTTAACTAGATTAAAAATTTATTTTTTTMAAATTAATACATTATCGTTATAATAATCATTACATTTTTATGAAAAATATTTTTATTTTTTTAATCCTGTAGCATGTGTGTTCAACTAATTCATCAACATATGTGTTGAAATTGGCTTTGTAATCATTATTCTAAATAATATACTAAAATTCACGTAAATAACGCYGATTTTAAAAGATATATAAACTCAAATTKTCGTTTTCATATAAATTCGAAAACGCATAATAATAAACTATTAGATTCATATAAGTACATCACCAATATTATTAGTCTTAACATAATGAAAAAGAAAATAGGACTTTTAAAATATGACATTCTGTGTGTGATTGTATTATCCTCTTCAAAATACTTTTAACTTTGTTTGAGTAGGTGTACTAGTGTTGTTGTCTATAAACGAAGGAATAGCCAGTCCAGTGTAACACAAAGCATTTGCTTATGTTTCTATTTATCAAAAGAAATATAGTTGAAGGGTGGTTTCCTTTTCTGTCAGTGTCACTTTTTGGCCAAAAAATATCCTTCCCTTTTTGACCAGTGTCACTTTTTGGCCAAAAAATATCCTTCCCTTTTTGACCAGTGTCACTTTTCAGCCAAAACTTACCATTCCCTTTTGTACCAATAGTTTTTTTTTTTATTAACATTATTACCTACATTGAGTGAAAAAATAATAAAATAAAACAATTRGCAATAATCTGTTTTAACATATTAAATTAATATAATCTTACAATACTAATAAAAAATACATTTAAGAGTATGTTGATAGTTAAGGTTTCCTAATACAATAGTTGAATAAAAATGAATATGATCTTATAATACATGATAGTTAATAATAATTTTGATATAAAAATATGCGGTCTTTTAAAGTCAAGTAATCATAGTATTTTTTTCAATTTTTCGTCATCGGGACAGTCCGACATAAAATCATTCACAAATCATTTTTATATTACACTATAACTGATTGGGTCACGTTTTACATTATATTTTATCAAACAATTAACAAGGAATAAAACTTACTTATAAATAAATAGATACTGGTTTATCTTTATTTACAATAAACCAACAATAAACGAAATTAAACTTACATTGAAAAGTGCAAACTATAATTATGTAAAATTGTTCAAGCAAAAACTTATCGTTAATTTGAACGACTAACCTAATAATATGTAACACTGTAGGTAATAGCCGAAAAGTGACACTGGCCRAAAAGTTAAGGTCACATTTATGCCGAAAACAGTGACGCCCCTAGTTGAAGTATGTATTTTTTCGTTTAACCAATGTATATACATATGTGTATACATATTTAATATTATTCTTGTATAATTRTTTATATTTTTATAAAAATATAAATTATAATAATATTATAATACCATTACAAAATATAATATTAGATAATAATATTATGACTGATATGATGTATCGAAATTGCATATACAAAGCGCCGTGTTCGTAATACATTAATTGTATTATAAAAATATTAAAAATGCATAAAATATATTTTTAATCTTTTAACTACACTTATTCAATATAATCGAGATCAAATTRGTGAATTTTCAATTTGGCCATCTTCTTCTAATCTTGGTTCCCAAATACAGCAATGTAAGAATTGGTTTTAAATTTGTGTGTGTGTGTGTTATTATTGTTGTTGTATGTTTGTAATGTCTATACACAATAACATTTTCAAAACATTTAGACTGATTTTGATTATCAAACCTATCAGAATCGATTATTCAYCTTCTTGTTCTTATTCAATAATTGGTTATTAAATTCAAATAACTTAATATCCATTATAGTGAGACCAACTTAACGAAGAGGTACTTGAACTCAAAAAAAAAACTACTGTGCAATGTGCATACAACATCAATGTGAGTTTTTCAATTTGTAGTTCAGAAATTACAGCACGTTAGACAATATAATAACGAATTCAATTACTTCATGGTAAGATTTTTATATTCTCTATCGTTCTCTTAGATGACGATAGGGAACTTAAACCTATTAAATAACTTTTAGTCCGATTACTCGTGAGATAACTTGAAGGCCCACAGAGACTTTTCTGTGGCATACATGAGCAATTCCAGAAATTAAAAACTAGGAATAAAATACTCTTACTTAACTAGTTGCAGTCTTGAACCTATAATATAATTTTACTAATACAATTTAATATTAAGCTAAAAACACTTACAGAATATGATATTAAAATTTAAAGTATTGCGATAATTACCAAAGGTTAGAATCAACTAGCCAAATAGTCAGAACTCAGTTAAATTAAGTTGTTTTGTTTAATGTTTTTTAAATTCAATACCTACTTATTTAGTTGATATTAAAGTTAATTTACAAAACTAGTTAAAGAATACAATACATATTTACATCTTTCAGTTTATTTAAAAAATAATTCATTGTATTAAAATGTTTATCCTGACATAATATTCAAGAAATTTAGTCAAAAAATATAAAAATTMTATTTCCTGTTTATACACTTTGAATATATAACGATTTTAATACAGATAAACAAATTAATAATTACCGATATTTATTAACTTAATAATTTATTACTAAAGTAACACATAAGTCTATCACAAATTGTCAAAACTATTTAAGCTAGTCWAAAATAAAATAGAATCTTATAGAAYTCGTTTTTAATGCAATATTAAGATATCATAAAAAATAAATG